GTAACTAAGAAACAAATGCTAATTCGATGATGCCGGCTGGCACACTGATTCACTATGAATGTAGGCAGCACCCCCTAGCGGCAGAAGCTCGTACTACATCCGGTTCGCCCTCTATTGACACAGTCTAGAAACTTTCCGATCGCACCTCGTACTAGTTGCAAGCAGTTATTTTTATTTCATATAAATTATGAGCACACAACAAACTGCAAAACGAAAATATTTTTCTTTAGAGTAAAGGTGTCTGAAATAGAACAACTGGTTAGGAACTGCAAACTAATTCCTTGCGATAAAACTACAATTGTTATTGAGATTGTACTTGAAAAATCTGACGTTGTTGGGATTCGTAAAAGTGGAAATGTTCAAACTAAAACTAATCATTATATTTTATATTTATAGAACTGTAGTCATAACTCCTGATAACCTCAACACACAGAAATGTAATGGAGTTTGAAGGTAATTCTCCCGACAACGTTTTGCCTAAATAAATGTAGAAGTTTTAATACAACATAATGAAGTTACGGTTATTGCAAACTTCCACTTTTATATCTAGTCACCAACCGACGAACCTGAAGGGCAAAAACGTTCCACTTCACTTTAATTAAGTGAAAAGATTACGGAAAGAAATTCGTTTTGTAATTACGTTTTTTTTTAATTGGATGAGCTCAGTAAATTTGATGGCAGGACAGAAAATTACCCCTTGGGGAACTCGTATCGATTATCAGTCTCAGATAATATTCTACTCTGTTAGAATAAAGTAAAGCGTTAAATTTTTTGCCCCATTCACACAACAAAAATGGAATGAATTAATCACACCACTTGCACAAATATATGTTAATTGACGGAACTGATAAAGTGAAAATAAGCACTAATGCATGATTAAACAAATTCATTCCAGATAAACACTCTTGACACATTTCCTTTCTTATAACTTTTCATAGTTCAGTAAATCTACTTACACCAGGATACAATTTGTTTTTAGACAATAAGAATTTCATTAATTACAGAAAATCCTAACAAAAGTCATACATATATTGACCAATATGACTTAGACTAAGTTTGTAATACATGACTAACCGAGTTCTATGTAGTGTTTCTATGTGCCTCAATGTTGTAGCTATTAAATGATGATAATTTTCGGAAGTGTTTCTAATATAGGTGACGGAAAATTTTATATATTTTATTGTTCTTTTTTCCCAATTTGAAGAGAATGGAAACGGAATATGGGAAATAGGTGGGAAGGAGACAAAGGTGCAGAATAGATAAAGGAAAGGAAGAAAGGGGTAAGGGATGAAGGTATATATCATCTCATGATAAACCACAACAGGAATTTTCCACTAGTATTTAATAGGAAGATGGTTAATTTTGTTCACACTATGTAAACAACGCATAAAACTGTAAATTGATCACTCATCATAAGTCGCCAATAGACAAAGACAAGACTCCAAATGTTTTAATCATGTGTGGCAAGAATTAGAATTCTAAACGACTTGTGCAAAGCGGCGGATGCAGTTCACACTGAACTTCACGAATTCATAAGCGGACTTAGTGGAATCTGTTTCCTTTCACATTTCATTCGTGATATTAGAATATAGCACAGTTTGAAAGCCGCGCCATAACCTGCAGACATATAGTCTGTCTGATTATCAGAAAGAAAGATTCTGCTCTATTCCCAGTCTCTGGCACCTGTCAGCAAGTTTCGTCCATACAATGAAATTTAATGAGTCTAAATTTATTGTCAGGCGCGGAAATAAAAAGATAATGTTAGTAGGCTAGTCAATTCTTGGTGTTCCAGTGCCATTATACTAGGCTCTAAAAGTGAAATGAACATTTATGTCGTAAATAATCTCTGTCACATCTCCGGACTTCAGTACAGGTAACTTGATTCCGGTATTATTGCGATCAAATACGAGAAACGGGTAATATCGGTTTACAGCAGTCATAAAGAAATAATAAATGTTTCCACAAAACGTGCTCCTTCCTATAAGATTTGTGAGAAGTCAGCATATGATGGAGTGGAATGTAAAACTGCCATATTTTTGAAAAATTCTGCATTTTATATAAGACTGAAATGCGTGTCATCAACGAACACATTGGAATATGGTCAAAACCCTTAAAAACACAGTTATCAGTAAATGTAGAACCTGATGTAACATTGCATAAATCTTCATTTTGAACTCGTGTGTATCCATGAGTTTTGTATGATTTTTAAAATTGGGATTATTTCTCTAAACAGCATTAACGAAACGAGAGGCGTTGTATTTATCATGTTTTCAACAGTAACTGGATTTTAAATAAGCTTTTTATTTAGATTAACTTTGTGCTTCAAAGGGACAAAATTTTAGTAGCCTCAATATTACGTTATGTTTCACACTGAAAAAAGTACTCGTTGATAGAAACTAACGATAGACCACTAGAGATAATTCAGTATCAAAGGAGTTCACAGCTACAGAAAGGTCTATGAGTTTAAAGAATATTGCAAAAGTTGGAAGCAAATGGTCTGGCGATATTACATATTGTTTAAATAACAAAAAAGTTAACTTGTTAGGTGTCCCATAATTAGGGCTGTACCATTTTTCTGAAAATGTAGGTGTCACCTCCAAAACACAGCAGACAGGACTCTTATCAGAAATGGAAATATCATTCACATAAATCTGCAAATTATAGTATGGAATTGAAAATACATTATGCGAATTTATAAATTATACATAACAACATGCAAAAATATACAAATAATCAGAAATTCTAGGCACAACTATGAAAATGTTAGGCGCCATAGCAACTTGGTTTTTGGTATTGGTATAAGGTTGTAGATAATCATTACTGTCAGTTCGGAAATTGCACTTCTAGCGTCATACTTTCATGTTTTGACAGTATCAATTTGCCACTAAACTTTCAACCACCCTTCATTGTTATGTTATACGATATATAGGATTACTTTTTCAAGTTGGTCTGTATAGAGAGGTCCGTCTTAGTTG